ACCAAATTATTCAGGTTCACATAAAGTGTTGGAACAACATGAAAAATATTTTACAAAGTAAATAAAGAAATGAAAGACACTGTATTAATTGATTGTTTTAAAACTGCTTACATTGAAGAAAAATCACCGAAACACCTAACAGAAATCAAAGCAAAACCAATAGACAACATGCCTTCACCTAAAATTTCAATACCTTCAACAACAAAAAGTGATTGCACTGTACATTAGTCATGACATTTAGTAACTGTTATGGTAATTTACACACACACACATGGACTCTCCCAGCTATAAATAGGAGCAGGTACTGCCTTTTGGAGAGGGAAGTTTCCAGCAGTCAGCTCTGACAGTTGGACTGAACATTCTTGCTGTAACACTCTCGTTTTATATATTTGTATTACTGTTTCTGTTAATATATTTGTTTAACTCAATTCCTCTCTTTGTGTCTTTATTCCTGGCCCTAACAAGGCCACAACAGAAACATATATTACAAATCAGATTTCATAAGAGATTCTTCTTCAATCTGGTGAGAGTATTTGCTGGATTTTGAATTACCACCCTCTGACAATAATTACAGGTGACACTAGATTTGAAAGAATCCATCTCTTTCTTGGTGAATTTTCATAGCAAAAAGATGTATTTTTTTGCTCCTGCAAAAAGGTAAGTACCTCAACTACAGACACTGAAGGTTGCTTTGAACTCTTCACATTTCATTTCAGTTCTTATTTTTCCTTTTGTAAAATGTCCTATCAATGTTAAAATTTCTTTGTTTAAATTCTATGTTTTATTTTTTCTTTGAATTCTCACATCCATGTGAATCAAATGTAACAAGAGCATATAAAATATCATCAAAAGTGTTAATGTTTACAACAATAGGGATAGAGTAGTGAGAGGTTTGTGACATTTTGTCTGTGGGAAAAGGGTTTCAAGGTTGAAAATAATTTATCACCCAGAAGGATGCACAGACACATTTGGACTTTTTGAGACTGGAAAGTGAAGGCTTGACAGCATATATATGGCAGCAGTACTCCAGTCTGATCTCTCTCTTGTATAGATAGAGGATAGAAGCTGGAGTCAGGTACTTACTGGATTTGTACAGGGAACAAACCATTTTCCCAGTATTTTTAGTGATGAATCATATGTATGAGTTTCACTTGAGGCCTCCCCCCCAAGAGAACATCTGCTTTTCATGATAGGTGAAAATTCGAGGTCTGCTCAGTAAATGATGGAATGTTATTAGTTTGTTTTTCAATACATTGAATGTGACTGGCCAGTTTTTCCCCCACTGAGCTGTTAGAGCTAGGTCAAAGGAGACCAAGCTATGGTCATCTAGAGTTTTGGAGGTGCACTATACTATCATTTATGTAAAGTAGAAAGATGATTGAATCAAGAAGTGAGTCATGCAGGACACCTGCATTGATCACTCGTGCCATAGAGTATTGGCTGTTAACAACTACCTTCAGAGATCTAACCATTAGGAAGTACTTGATATTTGAGAAGACTCATCCAGTGATTCCATAGCTAAAGAGCCTGTGCAGTAAGCCTCTATGCCACACCTTGTCAAAAGCCTTTGAAATATTTAATGCAATCATCCTTGAGACATATTTGTTGGCTAGTGCATCTGTGAGTAATTGAAGTTTGAATCTCAGCAGTAGACTGAGCTGATCAAAATCTCTACTGCTTGTTGCTTAACAATTGCTGTCCCTTGATAGTTTGCTAATGACAATGAGGAGGCTGATGTGTCTATACTGAGAAAGGGATGAGCATTCACCCACATCCTTGAAAATGGCATAGACGTGTCAAGTCTATGCCATTTTCAAGGATGTGGGTGAATGCTCATCCACAGACTTGTGAAGATTTTCTCCTTCAAGCAGCAGTTAAATAGTTTTACTAAGATCAGGGTTAACTCATGGTTAATATTCTTAAAGACAACCACTGGGATTTTATCTGGCTGAGACAGAAGCTTTTGCCATGTAGGAATGTGTATCCAGAAATTGTTCTATGGAACAGCACATCAGAAGATGCCTTTGGTTTGGGATTGATTTTGACACTGACAAGTGAATGATCTGAAATCTCTGGAGGTGGGCATTAAAACTTCAGCATGGCAGGAAGTGAGTAAGGGGTGAATATTGGTCACCACAAATATGAAAGCTAGCTGTGGGATACTCAGTGAGGATATAGTCACTTGTCTCAGCTATTTGGTCCAAAATTACAATTTTGACAAAAGAGAGTGAAAATGAAAGTGGTACTGTAGATATGCAGAAGCACATATATAGATCAGGGTCCTCATTATTGGGGTCTCACATGGAAACCCATCCTGTGGCTGTGGGAATTATGATGTCTTACTATTAGGGGTGAGTAGCCCAGGATTGCAAATTCCTGCACTGGGATAGATAGATTGATAGCAATTTCAGACTGGAATAAGAGATCAGGTTTGACATTGTTAAGTTGGAGTTCCACATCTGGAAAGTTGAAACATAGACCCCTTACATGTAGGACATGGTGAATCTGAGATCCACTTTGTTTTTGATTTTTTTTGTTCAATTTTGTCTTGGTCATGTTTAGAAATCAGTTAGTGTGTTCAGGTGAAAGACTAGTTAGTGAGATAGGTACATCCACAGGGGGTGCATGCATCAAGAACCTGGATTGAATTGTTCAGAGGCACAAATCAGAGACCACTGAATGGTCCAGAACCCATTCACAACATGGCAGTAGAATAGTCCCCTGATTATACACCTGCTGATAGGATAGCCTCCTTGTAGTTACTTTTACTATCAAGTGGATAATACCAAAACCCAGAAAACGTTTACCTTCAGTACACTTAATGAAGGAACAAATAATCCAGCAAAGAAGATACAAGTATAATACCCTGTTTGTACATGTCTTGTCTACACAGAAATCAAGGTAACAGAACATCTTGAGTCAGAAATATTGGACTGAGACAAATTTGCTCATAAAAGACTAAAAGACACATTGGGAGAAGCAGGGTAGCATTATACTAATGAAAAACTAAAATCTATGTAACAGTTTTATTTAAAGAGAGTTTTTTGATTATATATCCATCTCTCTATAAGACTACTATTCTGGAATAACAATGATGGTAAGGGGTTCAAGATAGCCCCAGGCAAAGGATCCATAGGACAGTCCATTAGTGTCCTCACCCTCAGCATATTTTTCCTCAGCTGAGTAATATAAGCAAACTGATTATGGTATTCTGGTTAGAAAAGCTGAGGTTGGAGTCTAGAAGGGCTTGATTTGTTTGTGACATTTAGTGCTTTAAGGATCTGTTTGGTTTTACAGGTTCAACAGGCAGGCTGTGTGTGTTGGATGTTACTATAAATAAGAAATTTTTTTTTTCATTTAGATCTAGATATCCAAAAAGAACAATGAGTGGTTTGATTTTCTTTTTCACCAGATCAATTCCCTTGTGATCTCATTGCAATGATTAGTTTTAATGAGTGATTGGAACACAGTTGATGATCTTGATCTAGACCAAGGGAGCAATAGGAAGAATTCTAATATTTTTTCAGATGTAAATCTTTTAAACAAATTTGTCAAACATGATTTGATCAATAAAATTTGAAATGTGTAGTGTTGATTTAGGATTCTCAGGTTGTCCAAGTTTTCATACTGTAGTCTGTTTGGATCATAGGCATATTTGTGTTCAAGTAAAATAGGGAGACGTAGGCAAAGTGACTATAGCTAAGACAGAGCTGGCCTTGTTGCTTAACAAGAACCAACTTTGGATAGTTGGAGGTAACAAATATGGCCACAGAACTGAATACATAAGAAAAGTGGCAGATTGACATATTGCCTATATTATACTACCAAATAGATGAGGTTTAATTAAAAATGAAGACATCTGCAACTTCCAGAATTTTTTCACCAGGAAACCTGGTATGGGTTCTGCTTAGTTTGAAATCAGATTGTATGAGACAGTAACATAGATTAAAATTAACTGCAATAAGTCTATTGACTTGCAGTTGGAACTTTGTATCTTTCTCCCACTATTTGGTCACCTACTTTAAGCATCAGTTAGAGAGAGGAAGAGAGAGACTATATTCATCTAAGTTTAGTAAAAGGTGAAAGAATGTGGTACAATTGTATCATGTGAGAGGGACCAACTAATTATGTGGCAACTGCTTATTTTCTTAACTAGTTTGAGAAAATTTTGTCATCACAGCTGAAGTTGTGTTCATTGGTCTCTTATATTTTTGTTGTCTACATTTGTTTCTCACTTATCATTTCCCACATTAGGTGACATAAGGAAATGTTCTCCAGTGATATAGGAATATTTATCTTTTTTATATTTTATTATGTATTGACACTTTCCCCACCACATTATTTTTCAACTGGGTTAACTTTTCTACTATATTAGACTGTGATAAGTAAGTGGAGTATATACTAATGCATGTTTGTAAATACATTTCATTTAAAGCATGAGGGAAATGTTTTTAAATTGTAGAATACGAATCAATTTTTTTTTACTCTCTCTCCCCCACATGATTTTTCATAGAAAGAATGATACTTTTGGTGATTATAACATGAAAATATCAAAATAAATGAAGAAGGGTATTAAATGTTACTAGTTAAGACCAACCATATCCCAAATTTTACTGTGTGCTAAAGTCAGATTTTGGAAAAATTACATAGATTACAGTCATGTGTATGGACATTTTATTTGTTGACTAAAGCAAAAGAAATAAATTTGGCTCTATTGCATGTGGCAGATTTTTGTTATGTATCTGAAATGCCATTCCTCAGTAGGCTTCTAATATCAAAGGAGCATCTAACATGCACTAATTCACTTATTCCAGATCAATATCAGTCATAAAATATATATAAAATTCAAAATTTATGATAACAGATCAAGGTGGAATTACATTTCTGTTTCAGCCAATTCTACAATCATTGAATAATGCAAATTTACTGTTTCAAAAGTCTAATATTAGGCAATGACTCAGTGAAGAAGTTAAGATCTTGTATTTTCTATCTTAACCTACCAGCATATTTCTTCTGTTGTGCTTTGTATTGGTGGATCAGTTTCTGCACATCATTTTGAGTAAAGTTGGTTTTGGTTTTCAAATCATTAAAAAAATCCAATTCAGTCTCACACACTTCAGCCGTATGACTCTGCTTCACTTGCTGTAAAAACAAAATTAGATTTACAAACAACAACAAAAAACAGACAATAATTATTATTGCATCATTTCTAATTAGATATAATTCCATAATAAAGCATTTACAAGTATTAACTTTATTCATTATGAAGATGGTTGGATCATTTTACAATCTTTGTTTGCATTGATCATCAGTAGCTGAGTGACTTTGGCAGTGGCGAAAATAATCTCAATAACTGTCTAAATTAAGTAAATAAAGTAATGTTTATCATTATAATAGATATGATATTGAGTATATCCTTAAAACTAAAGAAAAACAACAAAAAAGAAAAACCTACAAATTATAATAGAGCAAAAATGACTATGTCTATTTTTGCATTTCACAAAGTACTTGCTGTACTTGTTTTAGAAGCTGTTAAGGGAGTCTGATCCATTCAGACTCTTCTTCTTTTATGTGCTGTGTTCCTTCAGGACATAGGCAATCATGATCCTCCACTTCTTCCTACCCCTTGTAGTTATTAATTAATTTTTTGTCTTTTTGTTACTTCTCCCAGACCCTGTTCTGCCATCCACTTGCTAGGTACCTGCTAGGTATGTCATAGGTTACTTTCCCTTGTCACTCTTTCTCTCTATTTGCCCTGTGAATATCAGATTTTCCAATCCCTCTTTTCTCATTGTATGTCCCAGAAATGTCAGCTGCCTCTTCCTGATGTTAAGTATAAGTTTCCTCTTTCTTTACATCTTCTCCAAAACCGCATTGTTGCTCACATGTTTGTATCCTTAGCATCCTTTTGCAGAACTACACCTCTGTTCCCTTGAGGATTACAGTTTTCTATAACAAATTGGCTTCATTCAATCTACCTTGTTTGCTTATATGTATATGCTCAATGTAGACTTGTTCAAAATTTGCTTTAGGCTAACTAATGTTTACAAGAAATAGTCATAAGATTTTTAGTTGGATTTTGGATTTTTAAGTACTGCATGAAGCAGTTACATGCAAATTTTTAGCACTTTAACAATTATTCTAAGTTATTTTTATGATATTGTATACCTAATATAAGGCCAAGAACCACTCAAGGCAGATGTTTATTGAATTAAATTGTTTTGTGGATGTAAGTATTGTAGATTATGAGGATATGTAGAACATATAATGACTGTTCCTAGACTTGAAGAGGTTAAGATTGTAGGGGTCAGAGAAGCATCTTCTTCGGAGTCTGTTCAACAAAGTAGTGACTCTTGAGTCCAAGTGAAATTTTCTTCTTACCAATGGAATAAAAAGAGTATGAGGATTTTTCACCTCCTGTGTATATGGCATGGCAGATTTTAGCTGTAAAGGTCTGAAATGGTGGAATTAAGAGTAATGAAAGGCTTGTGATGTTGTGTGTCTGTTGGAAAGGGCTTGTAGAGTGTGCAGATTAATTTATTGCTTAGAAGGTTGTGTAAACACAACTCTGTACTCTGCTGAGGCTAGAAAGAGGTGATTGGACAACTTTAACCCAGATATGGCAGCAATATTCTATTTTCATTCTGATTTGACTCTTGTAAAGATAAAGTATGGCTGGTGGAGTCATGTACTTTTGGAAGTGTTATAAGGAACTGACCTTTTTCCAGCAGTGTTAGCAATGGATCTTATATATGAGTTACACTTGAGGTAGGGCTGTAGTGAGCTTGAGTCCCAATAGATGCTAAAAGCAAAGAGACTACTTGAGAATGCAACCATTCATTGTAACTGGTAATAATTAAGAGCAGCTTGGTGATGATGAAAAGCTTAGTTTTTAAGATACTGAAAGTCACAAAACAATTGGGCTGTTAGAAGTTAGTTCAGATGAGAGATTAGTTGACAAACTCTGGTCATCTAGATTTCTGGAGGTGCACCCATAAACTGTGGTAGCATCAGCATAGATAATTACTAACGATCTGAGAATCTTCTTAGGCAGACTGTTAATATAAAGCTGAAAATGGGTAGGATCAAGTAATGAGCCTTATGGGATGCCTGCATTGATATTATGAGCTTGACCATTAAGAATAGCTTCAAGGACCTACTTGATAGGAAGAACTTTATGATTGCAAGTATTCTTCCAGAGATTCCATAGCTTGAGAGTTTGTGCAATAACATCCTAAAAAGTCGTCAACTTACATATTGCTTAAAATAATGAGTATGAGTTTTTCTTTTTGTTTAAAGTAAAAAACCTTTATCAATCTTGTATCTTGGACAGCATTACAAATTTATTGGGTATGTAAATGAGACATCAAATGTTGTTTTATGATATTTTGATTTATGTCTAAAACACATTTTGGGTCACTAAAAGTGGTGGGAAGAAATGCAATATATTTAAAAAGAATGTAATTTTACATTTCAGGATTTAATGAAAAAGTAAAAATGTTCTTATGTTGTTACCACTAAAAACAGTTCCATAGCTTCAGCTTCTTTTTGGTCCAACTCATTTAACTTGTTTTCTAATTCTGTATTTATTTTGGTTGTTTCAGACAGATAGTTCTACAATGAAAATAATTTGATAGTCAACTACTTTCACAATTATTAAAACAGTTTCTAAGATAACTATGATCATAATAATAATAATAAAGTAACAATGATAATAATATTGGCAGAGAAGAAGAGAGAAAAAGAAACAGATGAGGATAAGGATCTGAAATAAGGACAGTATATTTAAAATCTTAATTCTCACTGGGGTGAGAATATAGACAACAATGGGTAATTAAATGACAAAATGTAAAAATGTTTTGTGTAATGCATTTCATCCTTTATGAGGACTTAACCATATCTATCTATCTATCTATCTATCTATCTATCTATCTATCTATCTATCTATCTATCTCTCTCTCTCTCTCTCTATATATATATATATATATCACCTTTAGAGTGAATCTTATGATTCACAGGAACCAATTGTAGCTCTATACTCTTCCTGTTCATTGAAGGCGTCTGATACCACGGCTGATTGATGGAGTGATTTCTTCGATAATGACCTGCCTTACCCAAGGTTGTGATTCAGTTGATCAAAAGGAGGCCAATATCAACTCATCATAGGTATCTTTGTATTAGGCTGGTCCAAGCAGGGCAAAGATGCACAGTAAAAGAAGAGAAAAATAACACTTGATATCTTTACCGCTCTCCATCCTCTCAAGACTGTGGGATACTTGATAGCATTTCTGACATCATAGACAAGGCTCTCTCCCTCCACCCATTGGCTCACATATTTGTGTTTTGTGACTTTAACACCCATCATACCATGTGGCTTAAGAATGCTACTACTGACCACGCAGGCATTCAAATGCTCAATTTTTCAGTCTCTCAATCACTCACACAGATAGTTAACTTCCCCACTCGTTTTGCCTTCAACCGGGAAGGTAAAGCCTCTCTTCTCGATCTGTGTTTTACCTCCATCCCTGAGTCCTGTAGCGCCATGCAACTCTGCCCTCTTGGTAACTCTGATCATGCGGTAGTATCTGTTAACATCTCCTTCAACTCCACACCCTGCAAAGAACCTCCTACCACTAGAACTTCGTTCTACAATCAACGAGCTGACTGAGACGCGTTCCGTGATTTCCACCGCGATGTCCCCTGGGATGTTGTCTTTACGCTCCCCGTCCAAGAATGTGCTTGTGAGGTCTCATCCTGGGTTAAAGCTGGAATTGACGCTTTCATCCCCTCAAGGAAATATAGGGTCAAGTTGCGCTCCTCTCCCTGGTTCTCGGCTGCTTGCTCAGCCGCCATCGCCCATAGGAACCACTTCTTTCACCTATTTTGTAGCGACATGTCTGACTGCAATAGAGGTCTCTTTGCCTCCGCCCGTAACGAGTGTAAGCGTGTCCTCAACGATGCTAAGTCACTATTTGCTGCTCAGATGAAGGAGCGTATTGCATCTCGCAAATTTGGCTCCAAAGATTAATGGCGTCTCTGCAAGAGCGTATTGAACAATTGCAAACCCTCTATACCTCCTTTGTTCAACCAGTTCGAAGTCCTGACGCCCTCTGCTGACAAGGCTGAATGCTTTGCTCGGAAATTTTCATTCAACTCGATATCAACCCGACTTCCCTCTTAGAACTGAGGCCCTATTGAGTGGGTTACACATAACCCCATCTTTGGTATTGGGCATTATCTCCAATTTAGACCTCAACAAGGCTAGTGGTGGAGATGGGATACCAGCCATTGTCTTGAAGAATTGCGCGCCTGAACTGGCGCCCGCCCTCTCTAAACTATATAACTACTACCTCAAGGAATCTTGTTTTCCTGACTGCTGAAGTCCTCTTCGATTTTTCCTGTCTTCAAAGAACTCTATGACACCTCTGACCCTTCTAACTACCGTCCTATCAGTCTCCTACCCCTCTTCGGCAAAATCTTCGAAGCCCTAATCAATACCGAAGTGGTTAACCACTTCACATCCCACGATCTGCTCTCAGACAAGCAATATGGCTTCCGCTTTGCCCGATCTACAACTGATGTGCATACGGCCATCACTGAAACTGTCTACCAAGCTCTTCAAAATAACGGGGAAGCTCGTGCCGTGACCCTAGACATCCCCAAAGCGTTTCATAGGGTTTGGCATGACGGCCTTCTTCGCAAGCTCCAGGGTTATGGCATTACGGGTCGATTGTTTGACCTAATACAATCATTCCTGTCAAACCATGAATTGAAGGTCGTTCTCAACGGATTCCCCTCCAGTTCCTATCCCACGAACGCAGATGTTCCCCAAGGTTCCATCCTAGGTCCCACTCTATTCCTTATCTACATAAATGACCTTCCTGACGCCATAAATTCCCAAGTTGGCATCTACGCGGATGACATCACAATTTATTCCTGTCTCAAAAACAAATCTAGTGTCACTGACAAAACTAACCTGTTAAAGAGACAATAAGTTTGAATATGTCTGTCTTTTTTCCCCTTTTTCTCTCTTTCGATTCACTTCCCTCCCCCCTCCCTCTTTGCAATAAACCCTTTTGGATACGTCTGTTTTTTTTCCACTTTTTCTCTCTTTTTCCCTTTACTTTATTTCCTTTCCTCACTTTCCTATACATCACTTCCTTTTTCTTTTACCACATAAATAGGTCATGGTTAGGTCACTCCTCCTACCCCAAGTTTTTCGTGGTACAGAATTTAATAATAGATAGGAAAAGACAATATTTATAAGGCATTTTTAAAAAAGCAAATGCTAAAATAAAAACAACCGGTTTCGTCCCAGGATTTATCAATTTTATTTATTGTGGGAATTTAAAAAAGCGTGTAAATTAATTTTAAATTAACGAATGTAATGGAATGGGGGAAAAAATTGAATTTCAAGAAACTAGAGTCCAGTAATATTCAGACCAACAAGCATTCCCTCTGTTTACAAAGGGAAGGCTCACGGGATCTGGTATAAAAGGACTCTAGAACCTTGAGGTGAAATGTGGAGTGGGACCTAGATAAAATTATAAATCGGTCACCACTAAAATTTTCCACATATTTCCTACTATTTATTAAATGTTCAGCAATAGCAGAAACAGAACTGTTGGTCAGTTGGCTATTCCTGGAGGACGGATTCAAAATCCTGGGGGGTAAATGCTGTTTTATTCTCGAATCCAAACGCTGGGACGTCCTCCCTATGTAGTCGTGTCCACAACTACACTTGTATTGGTGAATCACTGAATTAACATGATGGGGAGGGAGAACGTCCTTACGAATGGAAGAGAAAGCAGGACGGGTAACAAATATTACCCTAACATTCGCCGAAAAATAACAACTATTGATTAAACGTGAAATACGTTTCGATAAACTCTCACCCTCTCTACCAATATAGAGCTGAAGATGTACGGATATTAAATTCTAAAATGGCGTCTGATGTGTCCAGATGCAGCAACTCAGCCAATTTCATTTAGTTTCCTCAACACTTTTATTTTTAAAAAATATCTCACACTGTGACAAAAGAAGATTTGTTAAGAAAGGTGAAATGTTCTAGAAGCTGGATGAAAATTTACAATGGAAGTCTCAGAAATCAATGTATTTTTGTTATAGATTTTCCCCTTAGTAAATTACTTCTTTAATTAAAGCTGCATTTTAAGTTGAATTTATCGTCATATAATGAATAATACGATGAATGCGTTGTTTGCTGAACTATATTTTTTGTGTTCATATAATCTTTCATTTAAATTTCTTGAAGGTTCATCTATGTATTTTCCATGACTTTTATTACAGGGTAAATAGTGTAAATTCCTGTTTGAAGTTATATGTTGTTATTATTTTGTTTTGTTTTAATTAAGCCTCTTTTTGTTTTTGTTTCAGAAGTAATTGTAACAAATTTTATATTAAGTTTAGATAAATTTGTTACAATCATAATTATGATAGAGTTGGCAGGTAGTATTATTTGACTAGTTTTATAAAGATTGCATCATTCATAAATTTTTATAAATTTGGTGAACTTTCCTATTAAAATTATATATAAAATAATTGGAATTTTGGAGGGAGTTTTCAATGTATTTCTCCTTATTGTATAAAATACTTAAGGCTACAAATTCTATAATACTCTTAAATAATAATTTTTCTGAATTTTATTTTGCAGTTTTAGTGCGAATAGAAATTCTCAATAGATGTTTAGTTTTAGATCATTATCAGAGTATGTTTTAAGATAATATCAATGAAAGTTAATGAATTCTTCTGTTTTATATGTTCAGTTTTATTTAGTTTATTTACAAAATCAAGTAATGACGTTTTGTGGGGATATATTAATAAAGCATCATCGATATATCAGAAATATGTTGATTGTTTAGGTAAAATGTATTGGAAAATGACCAGATTCAAAATATTCTAAGAAAAGATAAGCTAAAATTCCACTAAAAGGTGATCCCACCAGTATTCTATATTTCTGCTTATAAAAATCATTGTTAAAAGTGAAATAACACTGGTTTGTGATGTCAGCAATTTTTTTATAATTTTATCTTTTGGCAGAGAGAGATTACTTTTTTTTTGTACTAGGTTCTTTTAAAAAAATTAAACATTTATTGACAGGAATGTTGGAATAAAAGAATACAGGTTCACAACCAGAGACCTAATGTAAGAAATGGCTTCATGACATCTCCCACTGTTCATTTTTTGTAGAAAAAACAAAAAACAAAACCAAAAACCCCCCTAAGATCACGCACATTTCACATAGATAAAGCTCTTTGTAATGTGTGAGCTGTACTTGTGAGTGCAATTTTTTGTATTTATTAATGCATGGGCTAACAGGAGTCCCTTCAATTAGGCTATCAGGACCTTTCCCAATCAATCTGAGAGTTCCAACTACAACTGGAATTATTGATGTTCTCATGTGCCACATTTTTGAGATTTTCACTTCAAGATCCTTATATTTTGATAGTTTTTTTTAAAGATCTTCAAAGATACATTACAATCTGCAGGGTCTGTCATGTCAGTTACAAAAGCACATTCTGTTCTTGCGGTCTTTGATCACAATGTCTTGGCAATTAGCTTGTTTGTTGATATGTCTCGGAAAGGGATACATTTGT